GAACCCGTGCTGGTTTCCCCTCATCATAATTTGTCCTGCCGGGCTCTCACAAATGTGAGCCTTGATAATTTTTTCAAAGACTTTGCCAAGGATGGTGGTGAGACTGACTGGCCTATAGTTGCCCGGGTCCTCCTTCCTCCCCTTTTTGAAAATGGGGACCACGTTGGCCCTTTTCCAGTCCTCCGGGACTTGGCCCGTGCGCCACGAGCTTTCAAATATTCCCGCCAGTGGCTCTGCAATGATGTCGGCTAGTGCCTTCAGCACCCTCGGATGGAGCTCATCCGGGCCTGCCGACTTAAAGGCATCCAGTTCTTCCAAATGACTCTGCACCATCTCAGGGTCTATGCATGGTAGTCTGGTGCCTTGCTGCTGCCTCTCTACAACCCCAGTGAGAGACTTGTCGTGCCCCTCACTTAGGAACACTGAGGCAAAGAACTCGTTGAGGAGTTCAGCCTTGTCTCCTCTGTCCGTTACCAATTGTTTCTGTTAAGGTTATAGGGGTGCAAAAATTATAATGCTGAAGATTTAATTTTCAGTGCAAATTTTGGCACTGTTTAGCACTGTTAAGCACAATTATGATAAAACAAAGCATTTTCTAGCTCCATCTTCAGTTTAAAAGAGCAATGAGAAATTGAAATCGAAGGATGTACGAATATATTGGGAAGCAGGACATTTGGTTAAGTCAGCATTTTTTTATCCTTTAGGAGAATAACATGACTCATTCAAGTGTGGCAATTAAACATATCGTTTTAGTGTGAAGCCATGTGAAACCTCTGCCCAGACAGTAATTGCTACCTATACTGGTGGTGACTCATGCCTTAGTACAAAATGCATGTTATATATATTTTGTATCTGATAACTGAATTCAGCTGACTTATTATTACAATACTTGACAGAAGTTTAACTGTACTCTTTGCAAACTTAGTTTTAGGAATAGTCATGTATATTGTTGAGCCAACCTTACCTCAGTCCTATTATTTTGTTATTACTATGTTTTATTTGATAGTTTTGTATGATGTAATCTGAGATACCTTAAAGGTTAATTGAAACACTGCATTTCTTATACATTTGATCAAATTAAATAACTATTCAGGGCCTCCTATCATTAGTGGAATACTGAGTATCAGTCTATCTCCTAAATCCCAGGTTCATCACTTTCTTTGCAGCAGTTTAGAATAAGAGGATGCTGTGTGCTATCCTATTTTAAGTATAAAGTTATGAACTTTATTGAGCTAACACAACAGCTGTGTACTCCTTTAGGCCATCTGTAAGCCAGTAATGAGATGAGTAATATTTTTTGTTTGACTAACATTAATGCAGTGAATTTTCCCATGTTTTAAGTTGTATTTCTTGAAGAAAACGAGATATACCCATCCTATGTGACCTACAGTAGTTTCCAACTGATTTTTAGGTGCTATTTAAGGTGTTGGTTTTGACCTATACATTCCTTAATGGTATTAGACTGCCTTTTGAGAATGGCAATTCTCACAATACCACTCTTATAATACTACTGCAGAGGAAATCAGCTGAGGTGCCCAAAATAACTGGTCCCAGGCAATTTGCAAGGCTGTTTAGCAGCAGGCCTTTTAATTCTGGAGGTCGCTTTCATCCTTGGTTAGGAAGACTTTGAGTACGTTGACCTTCAGGACGTGTAGAAAGGGTTATCTGTATTCTGAAGCTTCAGAGAAAGAAATGGATGAAAATGTAGTCCTCATGGAATAGGTGAATGGGGAATGGTATATCAGTGGTATTGCTTTGCTTTATAAAATTTATAAAAGTTTTAGTAGAGGATTTATCTTATCTATTTCGATTCAACTGTACTCAAAGCTCTGCCACAAAGGGCACTAATCGAAAGTTACAACATTTGTGTGTCAATTCTCTGCAACTCCTGGGTATAATGAATGCCCTCAGTTTCCAAAGAAACCAGCGGGAACAATATTTGTGTGCTCAGTACCCCTTTCAGGATCTGGTAACTGGAGAATATCACTCTCGCATTTCATAAATATAATCAAACACATTCAAATATATTCAGAATACATTTAAAATTGCAAACTGAATTTATATGCCAAATACAAATAACAGAGGTTTTAAAAGTAATTTTCATATAAAGGAGTATAAAGGAGATATTTGACTTTGTAATCAATACTATATTATTTTTATTACAGGCTTTTCATGAAGTTACTTCATAGAAATAAACTGTTTCTTGGTCTTGTGCTTCTAGTAAAATGAAATAGCAATTTTACAGTAATGTTAGGAGTGCTTGTACAAAAATAATTGCTAGATTTCTACAATCAAAGTCTACTTTCAATACTAAATGCCATTGTTTTGAAATGAAATGCTTGAAAGTATTAATTCTAGTACTGTGTTAATTGATGGTGTTTATTGGTAGTCATATCACTGATGGGGAGAGGAACACATTCATTGTCTCTATCATTGTCTGAAATTCTTTTAAATCACTTTTAGGCCCAGCGGTGGCACCAGGGAAATGAGCATTTTGGCCGCTCTTGGCTGGCAGGGGATGTTGTGGGATGCATGGTTGACATGAATGAGCATACCATGATGTTCACCTTGAATGGTGAAATCCTGCTTGATGACTCTGGATCAGAGCTTGCATTCAAGGACTTTGAGGTTGGTGATGGTAAGTGCTTTCACACTTTCTGCTGTGATGTTGTTGCTGTATTGTCTGACATTCTTTAAAGATACATTCATCGTTGCGCATGAGCTAACAGAGGAGAAGCATGTATTTACAGAGGAGAAGGCAGCTCTAAGTGAAAACTACCTAAATAGTTTATTTGGTTAAAAACCTTGATCTTGTTTTACTCTTTTTTCCTTAGTAGAAAGGTTAAGACACATGCAAATAAAATAGCAAGTATCATATAAAATGTGATGATGGTGTTGATCATTAGCCACTGCATTTATAACATTTGACTTTGAATTTTTCTGTAGAACTTTTATTCATGGTAAGAGTATCTATTCTGTCAGTGGCTACTGTCCTGGATTCTGTGATTCCTTTACATTTCCTCCTTTACTTCTAAGGTGAAAAGCTAAGTTGGCAGAAATATAATAAATAAGCCATAAATAAATCAATCTTATCCCACCATTGTTCAAAATGCAGGAAACCATACACAATCAGTGCTAATTTCATCACACCACTAGCAAATGTGTTTAAAAAAATATTTTAAAGCATGATAAGGATTGCCAGAATGATTTAAGACCTGGGCTGTTGATGAAAGGAAACTCCTTCTCTTCCTACTGTGTAAAGGAAGAAGCAGAGAGTCTTGGCATAAATCACTTAATCCCAAATCCACATGTTTTCCTTCTTCTAACTCCAGGATTACTGTGAATGGGAGACTTTTTAATGGCAGAAATGTCCTTTTGAAAAGTCTTTAAAAAAGGTTTGTCTTTGTGTATATGGCAGGGGTGGACAAAATACAGCCTGCGAGCTGGAACCATCTCATGGAGGGACTGTCTGGCCTGTGGTGCATCCTTTGGTCTTGCCTAGCCCAGGTGCCGTCTGGCCTGTGGTGTGTCCTGCCACCCCCAAGGCATGTAGCAGGGCTGGTGTGGCTGCACAGCTGGAATCCCTTTCCAGACAGCCCAAGTGGCAGCTTCTTCCAGCTGCTGCTGCTGTCCCCATGTTGGTACTGGTAGGGACCTGTGCACACAGCCCCAATCCCGGTCCACCCTGTGCCCACTCTGGACTTGGCCTGGCAGAGCGGACCATCTGGGACCTGCACACACAGCCCTGACTGTGGCCCACCTCACACCTGCTCCAGACTCACCTGCCCACATTGAGCAGTTGCAGCAGAAGTGGAAGCCAGGCAGAAGTTGCTGTTCAGCATGGGGGGAAAGCAGCCTCTCCCCTTCATCGCTGCCAGGCCCTTCTTGCTGCAGCTTCCCATAGTTCACTCCTAGGCTGCCCTGCATCTCCTTTGCACTGCCACTGCTCCCTCACTGGGTGGCCCACAGGTGGCAGTGACAGTGGCAGAGAGGAGCTGCAGGGCAGCTGGGCACAGGCTCTGAGAGACTGCAGCAAGAAGGGCCCAGCAGCAGTGAGGGGGAGGAGTTGCTTTTCCCCCATGCTGGGCAGAAGCTTCTGCCTGGCTGTTGCCACTACTCATTGTGGGTGGGCAGTCCAGGGCAGGTGCAGGGTGGGCTGGGTTTGGGGCTGTCCGTGTGGGTTTCAGCTGGTCTGCTCTGACTGCAGCGGCTGTGGAGTGGGGTGGGCTGGGATCAGGGCTGGGGCTGTGCAGTGTTGACTGTGGTGGGAAGGAGCCACAGGGCGCAAGGGCTCTGGGCTGTTGTGGCGGGGAGCAGGGTGCTGACCAGCCCATGCCAGCTCCCCAGAACTGTCTGTGTGGCCTGCGGGCCCAAATAATTGCCCGCCCTGATGTAGGGGCACATGTACATAATGTAGTAACAGGCCTGATACAACAGACTGCAAAGGTAGTGGTGGGAATGTTTAATTGTCATGCAGTCGATTAATTTCAGGACTGTGGTGTTGATAATGCTGGTTAACAAGTGATCCCAAGGTAAAATTACTATAGGAAAATGTATATGTTGGTGTGGTTTAAACATAGTTTAAAAGGAGATTGGTCAAAATGCTCGTAAGTTTATTTGAACAAATGACAATGGCAACAGACTTGCAGACAGATAAAATAAAAGAAAGCAACTGTTTCCAAATGCCTTTGTGTTGAATGTTGTTAAAGAGTTAGGGATTTGTTACATGGTAATTTTGGGTGGAGCCCTTAACCCCTGAACTGTCCATATATTAACACCTGAAACTGGCTTGAAGCACTCCTTACACAGCTCAAAGTTGCCCCACTCCGGGGCAGGATTATCTCTGATCCGTGGTACCCAGCTCATGTTACATGCCCTGGATTGGGCCCACTACCCCTTCTGCCCTCCCCAGCACCCCAGATCCCTGCTCACTGCCCCACCTGCCCCCTCCCCATACTTATTTGTGGCAGCCTGAACTGTCTGTCCTGGGGGAGCAAGCAGGGAAGTATTAACCTTTTTGCCCAGCTGCTGCCCCTGCTGCTGCTCTCTGGGCTGGCTCAGCCTGGAGAAGAGCAGCAGCTGATCAGCAGCAGTGGCAGGGGCCAAGCATCCAGGTTAACCCTTCCCTGCCTGCTTCTTTGGGACAGATGGTGCAGATGGCCATTCATAAGTGAGGTGGGTGGATGGGGGGAACCCCAAGAGGTAGGGGGGAGCCCCAGGTATGGGGAGGAACCAGGGGAACCCTGGGGGGCAGAGAGGAAGCCCAGAATGGGAGGTGGGGAGGGTGGGGGGATTGTTACCTTTCAATCCTCCAGACCTCTGCTGTCCTGAAGCAACTGCTCCAAACTTGAGTTAGCAGTAACACTCATCAACATTTCTACAGCTCACGGTGTAAGGTGTAGCAAGGCCCTTGGACCTATACATTTTTTTAAACCCAGTTTGCAAAGCCTTTAACTGTTTTCACAAAGTATTTTGGGCCCTCACGTGCCTTTTTTAATTCTTGATCCTCTTGTTGTGAGTTCTAAAATTATGGATGCTCAATGCACATGGGATTACTTACTGCTCTATTTTTTAATAACCTTTTGTTCTGATTTTGTTTTAAGGATTTGGCCTTGTAGTTAATATGAAGTAGCTCATTACAATAGCAGATGGTCTATCCTGATCTGAGCATGTGGTAACGGTACAATGACCAGAAAATGTAAAGCAGATAATGTATATTACTTGTCTAATACTTAAGTTCAGTGTATGATATGTGCATGTGCATATGCATATATTTAAGACATATGTACACAAGGGTGTGAAGCAGTTAGAGTTTCCATGTAAATATTATTCCTGACATGGACCCAAAGAAGCAAGAAAATGAAGAGGTAGGCCATCTAACATTATTTAAGCTAGTTATCACATACATATTTTCCTCCATCCACAGATATGCATCATACCATTACCGCAATTAAAGTTCATTAAAAACTGGGCTGCACAATTATGACTTAATTTCTTCTTTTTGAAGATAACCTTTTAGCAGATTATTTTTGTCTTCAACAGTATTTAGTGTGGATGCTTGGTAGCATCTGTTTATTTTAAGAGCGAGTCATTTTTTTATCCATCTGCAGCTGTTCCTGAATAATTTAACATAGCTTCTTATGGAGAGATTGTGTGCTTTAAATCTTATCAACTCAGGCATGTGTGTACCTCTATTTCCCATCAAACAGTTGTGTTTATTAGGGGTGTGCAAAATGGGCTGTATTCAATTTGGATTCAGATTTGGCCCGAATCGGGGACAGTGATTCGATTAGCTGATTCCGATCGCTGTCTCTGATTCGATTTGGCCGAATCTGAATCTGAAGATTTGATGCTCATTCGGAGAATCAGTGATTTGGACATAGACACAGCTTGAAATGTTTTTTCTACATACCTCAAGGTACGAGGCGCAGCTTGTGAACGCTGCGATGCTGGGGCAAATGGAGTGTTGCACAGGAGGGGGGGGGCAGGCCCGAGTGCTTGGCAGCAAACCTGGAAGTGGACTGGAAATATTTGGTCCCTGATTTGATTGGCCATGGGGGCACCCTGGGTGCCCCTGCCAGACCCAGGAGGTACCAGTTGCCAAGCTGGGAGGGTGCAGAGCGGGGAAGGCCCCCACGTGCTCCCCACTGGACCTGGAAGTGGATTGGAAGTGCTTCTGGTCTACTTCCAGGTCTGCTGTCAAGCGTGCTGGGGAGCCCCCCATGTTCCCATGTGAAGCTCCATCTGCCCCACCATTGCATCATTAACTAGCTGCCTGGTACCTTGAGGTATGTAGAAAAAACATTTAAAGCTGTGTCTATGTCCAAATCACCAAATCTTTCCAAACCTCTCTGAATTGATTTGGAGAGTTCCGATTCAATTTGGAGTGATTAAAGGGTCTGATTTGCTTCGGATTTGGAGATTCGGCCACTGAATCAGGCTGAATCTCCACCAAATCGAATCAGGGACCAAAGCTTCACATAACCCTAGTGTTTATGTATACCCTGTCCCCCTTCCACTAGGTATTTGTGCACAATGCATCAACTTTAATTTATTATGTGAATAATGTCTAAAAAAATAATGGCAAGATCAGTACTGGGAAAAAAACAACAAAACAACCTACCAGAACAAACACCTATGATATCTCATCTGTTTAACATCTAACTTTCTGTCAATATTTTTTGTACATAGTGTTTTGGGGTCATACAAATAAAAAATGGAAAGTAATGCTTCCAAATAAAAAATTCAGTCCCTTCCAAAGTATGAATATACAAGTAATCATTACAGACTGCCTTATATATCAACAGACCTGGCCCGCTTTTGACAGGGGGCAGCAATGTGTTCAGAGTTGGAGAGAACTGTTTTTTAAGGGCTTCAACAGACATCAGCTATGGCAGTTTTCTATGGGCATTCTCAGACAAGATCTCTCTCAATTAAGCAGGTTCTACAACATTACAGTATTACAGTGCAGACAATAAGATATCTGCTTACTTATTTCAAAGCCATTGATTGTGGACTGCTAGTTTACCTATAAGTATTTAATTTCTGGTGGATATATTAGTGCTTGCACTAAATTTTTGTTTATGAGTTCTGGCCATCTAGAGAATTGTGAATAAAATTGAACAGTGCAGAGGAGCT